TCCTCTGGCAGGAATTTCACATCTAATACTCAAATCCTTCCTCCTATTGGAAGTTAACAAAAGTGACAGTCACTTACCCAGGTCACCAAAATGAGCAGCCTCCATGTGGCTTGGCTGCTTCTTAAGTGTTGCTGTCCTGCTACTTGAAAAGGAGTCCATGTTGGCAGAAATGGCATTGATTGCAACATGACTTGGTCCTGCAGCCTCCAGCAAGGCATGGTTTTTAGTGCTTTTTTGTGGGGAATGTACAGATACTGAAGCTGTAATTTTTCAAAAAATTGTTAAAAATTAAACACAATTCGATAGTCTAAAATTGTCTCATAAGAGAGCTTTAAGAGAACTTTGAAAATTAAATTTTGTAATACCTCTCTTAAGTGAGTAGACTCAACAAAAAATACTTAGGGGAAAGGTAAATTAACCAAGCAGTAGAAAATTGGAAATACATACCTATTATTATTTATAACTCTCAAAATACTGTGCCAAAAATGGAACTTAAAAAAGAGATCTTTCGGGCTGGCCCCATGGCTTAGCGGTTAAGTGCTCGCGCTCCCCTACTGGCAGCCCGGGTTCGGATCCCAGGCGCGCACCGACGCACCGCTTCTCCGGCCATGCTGAGGCCGCGTCCCACATACAGCAACTAGAGGGATGTGCAACTATGACAGACAACTATCTACTGGGGCTTTGGGGAAAAAAAAAAAAAAGGAAGAGGATTGGCAATAGATGTTAGCTCAGAGCCAGTATTCCTCAGCAAAATGAGGAGGATTAGCACGGATGTTAGCTCAGGGCTGACCTTCCTCACTCACTCACTCACTAACTAACTAAATGAATAAATGAATAAATAAATGAATGAATAAATAAATGAATAAATGAATGAATGAATGAATAAATAAATAAATAAAACTGTTTAAAAAAAGAGAGAGATCTTTCTTTAAGAATGTCTACTGAGGATAGAAAGTACCAAAGGCAAGAAACATTCTGAAATATGGACCCTTTTGAATTCCGTTATCCTTGCTTGCCCAAGAAACAAAACTAAAATTACAGAATAAAAGCTTGGGGTGGGGGGGTTAGAAAAATACTCTTTAGAATACATATTTTACTTTTTAATAGAGTAATAAAATTTCACTACCTAATAAAAAACATTTATGATCAAAGTTCAAGCTGCTTAAAGATAAAGTACATTTAAAAATTCACAAAATATATTTTCTTTAGTAGTCTGAAGAAATATTAATATCATCCTTTTGACTTCAGAATAAAGAGGTTAGTTATCAATATGTTTTTGTGTGTGTGTGTGTGTGTGGGTGAGGAGATCAGCCCTGTGCTAACGTCTGCCAATCCTCTTCTTTTTTTTGCTGAGGAAGACTGGCCCTGGGCTAACATCTGTGCCCATCTTCCTTCACTTTATATGGGACGCCACCACAGCATTGCTTGCCAAGCAGTGCATTGGTGCGCGCCTGGGATCCGAACCGGCAAACCCCAGGCCGCCGCAGCAGAGCACGAGCACTTAACCGCTTGTGCCACCGGGCCGGCCCCATCACTATGTTAATAGGAAATAATCAACTCGATATCACACTATCCAAGTAACCCTATGAACTTGTTGCTTCAGCTGAATTAAAATTCCACCTATCCCTGAAGATATTATGCTAAGCGAAATAAGTCAGAGAAAGGCAAATACCATGACTTCACTCATATTTGGAAGATAAACACAGAGATAAAGAGAACAGATTGGTAGTTACCAGAGGGGAAGGGGGCTGGGGGAGGGCAAAAGAAGTAAAGGGGCACATGTGTACGGTGATAGATGGCAACCAGACTTTTGGTGGTGAATATGATGCAGTCTACACAGAAACTGAAATATAATGATGTACACCTGAAATTTATATAATGTTATAAACACATGCGACCTCAAAAAAAAAATTCCATCTACCCTATTTATGCCACACAAATACCAAAGACTCTTAATAAAGGTTTTTAAGAAATTTTGGTTAGTACACTGCTATAGCAAGAAGGATAGCACTTAGCATTCCACACCCTAAATATAAATAACTCTCAGATAACTAAACTTGTATCTACTAGCACCACTTATTTTATTGAGCAGTCAACAGATAAGTGCGCTCAATCTTAGCAAACAGTTCCCAGACACAAAATCTGAGTAATACTAGGTAATATTTCTTATGAAGAATACATAGTACTGTAATTCAATCTATTATTCTTTGAGATGTATTTATAGGATAAAGCAGATAAGAACATGAATGTCCATACCTATTTTCCAGGTTATCTATTCTTATTAGTCATTAAACAAGAGTTGGGAGAATTATGCAATAGAGATGTCTTCAAAGGATTTTTTCAATTTTAGAAGGAAGTCTTTTTTTTTTTAATTTTCATGATAAATTGAAGGGAGCAAAATCATTTTAGCAAGTTTATAAACAATAATAGCTAGTTTTATTGTACAGACAACAAGCTACAACTAAGATTGTGTAAGAGCAATGAGACTTTCTAATTGTTTCCTGATTAGATGTGTATGATGATGTAAAACGCTGTTAATTCATTTGTGCAAACCTTTTCTCTTTGTTAACTTCTCTATTAGAACTAGCAACTGATTTCACACGCTCCTTCCTAATGCCCTATCTTCCTTTGGTCTCCATGGTACTACACTCTGCTCAATTTCCACTTCTATCTGTTCCTCCCTCTCATTCTTCTGGTACACATTCATTAAATAAATAAATAATAAATGAGATATGGTCGCCTGTCATGACTCCTCTTATTCCTAAGGTTCTCTGTTCTTCTTTTTTTCTTTCTGCTAGAAAGCACATTATTCTCAAACCTTCAATTATTACTAGAGCAATCTTTTTCAAAGTTTTTTTTTTTAGCTGTAAGCTCCCTTTTTTCTCCAAACAATAAGCATATGTGGGAACCTGATATGTCTGTAAAATAGATAAAATAGATATCTAAAACCTAAACAGGTATCTAAAATAGATAAAACAGAGTTAACTGTAACTCTAGTTGATTCAAGGGGAAAGTCTCATGCATGCCCTTGATGTGGGTCCTCTCCGCAACAGCTCCTAGGGTACACCGCTGTGGAAGTGGAACCCAGGTGGAAAACCATTGACCTGTGTCTCAGGCCTATCCTTTGATCTGAGCTTCAGTCCTGTATCTCTAATTATTTATTGCTAGCCATTCTCACTTTGACTTTATCATCTCAAGACCAATTTGTTCAAATATCAAACTTATCACATCTTCTTCCAAACTAATTCTCCTTCTCAATTTCTCTGTCTCTGTTCAATCTACCAGTCTCCAAAGCTCAAAATACTGGACCCATTCTTTTTCACTATATCTGTTTACTAGCCAAGATCTGTTGACTTTTCTTTTAAGATGTTTAAACATCTACTTACTTGTTTATTTTCAACACCACACCCTTAGTACAGGTCTTTCCGTTTAACAGCAAAAGAACTTCTAGAGTCTCTATCCTATATAACTCTTCCAGACTACCTTTCATAAATATCATATGTAAAGCATCAACATCCTGTTCAAAAGTCTACAGTGGCTCCCTGTTTTCTCTGTTTCAACTCTCTTTTCTGGTCTTTAAGGCCCTCTACAACCTGATCTCAATCCATCTGTAAAAATTAAGGCCCCTCTGCCCAATATATACTCAAAGAAATAAGAGGCTGGGCTGGTAGGGGGAAAAAAAAAGAATCTCCTCTTTCATTCAAATACTTCCTATTATTCAACTTTTATACAGTTAAGTCTCATTACTATGAAGGCTTCCGTACACTTCAGAAAACATTTGCTGATCTCAAATTCCTCTGAACTTCTTGCAATACTTCACTTAATTTAACTAATTCAACATATTGAGGGCCTACTCTGTTAAAACTAAATAATAATAGCTACCAACATACTACCTACTATGTACCAAGCACTGTACTGGTTTCTCGGTGTACATTTTTCAGGGTACATTATTTCATTTATCTCTCATAACAATCTTGCAAGACCAATATTTTCCTCATTTTGGAGATGAGGACACAAGCAGAAAAAAGTTAAATACTTGGCCCTAAGTCAATGAGCTAGTAAAGAGTCATTTCAACAGGCAGGATTTCAATGCTGGTCTGCCAGACTCCACAAAATCACTTTTATCTTTGGTTAAAAACTCAGACTGTAAAATTATCGTGTGGGGGCTGGCCCCGTAGCTTATCGGTTAAGTGCTCACACTCCGCTACTGGCAGCCCAGGTTCGGATCCCGGGTGCACACCAACGCACTGCTTCTCCAGCCATGCTGAGGCCACGTCCCACATACAGCAACTGGACGGATGTGCAACTATGACATACAACTATCTACTGGGGCTCTGGGGGAAAAAAAGCAGGAGGACTGGCAATAGATATTAGCTCAGAGCCAGTCTTCCTCAGCAAAAAGAGGAGGATTAGCATGGATGTTAGCTCAGGGCTGATCTTCCTCACAAAAAAATAAATAAATAAAATAAAATAAAATAATTGTGTGCATAACATATGTAAATGAATGTCTCAAAAGTACCTCCCACCCAATACACCAAAACTAAACATATAATTTCCCAGCTTGGTTCTCTACCAGTCACATTGTCAGCCAAGCAAGAAAGGTAGATATCAACCTTAAACCTCTCTCTCCTTTATACCATATTTAATCAATAACAATGTTCTATCCTTTTTAACTTCTACACTGATCTGTCCAGATCTCTTCATTTCCATCACTACTGATCTAGCCCAAGCTATCTGTGGAATCATTTGATTAATGTTCCTTTCCCCTACCAATCTGTAAGTCCAATGAAGGCAGGATCCAAGTCTTTTTTGTTCACTATTACAGCCACAGTTTTCGTCTAATGCCTAGAATAGAATCAGTGCTCAATAAAAGGTATAGTCATGCACCACATAATGACGTTTCAGTCAACGACAGAACACACATACAACAGTGGTCCTATAAGATTAGTACTATATAGCCTAGGTGTGTAGTAGGCTCTACCATCTAGGTTTGTATAAAGTACACTCAATGATGTTCGCACAACAACAAAATCTCCAAATGCCGCATTTCTCAGAATGTATCCCTGTCGTTAACTGACACATGATTGTAGATATTATTTTGGTTTATTTGCTACTGTTCTGTGTCTAAGTTTGTCTTTCTAATTACACTGCAAACTTCTGGAGGGCCTGTTTCCCATACTGCTTCCATATTATTCTAAGGTTAAGTCAGCGAATGCTAAGCACAAATTATGTACTGTCATAAGTATAAGCATGGAATTTTTCAGCCTGGTACAGATTTAGAAGTTAGGTAGGCCAATTCTCTCATTCTACAAATGAGGAACCTGAAGAAAGTTACATGACTTCCCAAGGTCATACTGTTAGTAGCAGAATTTAGGGTAGAAAATTAGTGTGCCTGAGACATCACAGTCTCTTGCCTCTACTACAATCAGATCTAGTAGTCACAAGCTTCTGCTTGCTAAGGACTTTAAGCCTTTATTAATGCCAAGGAGATTTTTCCTAAAGAAGGCAGTGTGAACTAACGTGGAATCCAACTGGCTTTAAATTATCAAAAGCCAGCAGAGAATAAGGCTGTAAGGTACCCTATTTATTCCCCAATCTTATTAAGTCTCTTAACAAGTTATAATTAGTCTCTCTCTGACAAATTGAGCTTATAGAGTTAATACTCAATGCTAGCCACACAACATACAAACATGTGAAAGAAAAATCTAAATAAGTAGCAATCTACAGATTTCATAGAAATAAATTACATTTACGAAATTTATATGTAATGGCTGTGGAAATAATTTCCATTATAATTTTCCCATTCCCATCTTTGTACATTGACATAATGAAGCCAGTCAAAACTACAGCAGAGATTACAATCTAAAAAAACATGCTCTAACCTCTAAACAAGGACAGTATATTGATTCCAATAAAGTACTCTGAATAAATTTTAAGTTAAGGCCATTCATCCAAAATCATAGAGAAGTGAAAACTGTCATCATCCACACTTCCGGATAAACAGGAAACCAAGTCTTATAAGTAAAAGGGCTTTCACTCAGTTGTCAGACTGCTCAGTTGAGAGTATTTTTCGCTTTTTGTTTTTTTAAAGTCAACTAATTGCTTTTAGGGAACAACCAAATGTGTGATTAAGGAGGAGGATACTGGTTTACTGTAATCACTAGGACATAAATGCTTAGTAAAAGCCTATTATATGCTAGGTGTTAAGGAGTTCACAGGTTAAACAGGGAAATAAGTCACAATCATAAATAATCATAAAAGAAGGTAGAAATGATTAATGGCAAGAGAAGGGAAAGATAACAGGATTAAAGAGCTCATTGGGCCGGCTCCGTGGCTTAGCGGTTAAGTGCGTGCGCTCTGATGCTGGCGGCCCGGGTTCGGATCCCGGGAGCGCCCTGAGGCACCACTTCTCCGTCCAACG